GAGAGCAAGAGGGCACGTGCGATGAGCCGCAGTTAATCCGTGCCAATCACGGTTCGGCACACAACATAGTTGCAGCGGTGGTGCGTGCCGTCGAGCATCGGTAATTTGCATAGCTTTTTGCATACGGAAGGCGAGTGTCTTGTCTCTGTCTCTGTCTCTCTCTCACTCGCACGCGTGTCGCCATAATGCACTGCGCCACCAGCGTTATGCTGTGCCTCCTTGTCGCCTCCCGCTGTCCTTCTCCGAGTGATTTGGGCGATAGGCATCGCTCCTCGTGACGCCCCGCTCCGGATGGAGCGGCGGCGGCGCGCGGCCCGGCCGTAGTGTTTCCCTTTTGCCATTCATCTCACCTCCCGTGTCTCCCCCTCTATTGCTCTCCTTCTGCTCACGACTCTCACCCAGGACGCGATCATCAGCACCCCGCATTGGCACCGCGCAGGGGGGTCCGCACTGCCCCCCAAAAATATATTGAGAGGAGTAAACAAGTAACCTAAAACTGTAAAAAGTATGTTGATAGGTACAATATATTAGTTTGTAATTTACTATTAACAAAACATGTTTTAAATGTACAACATCGCATTCTTACTCGTCGATGGATTTTGAGTAAAATTGCGAATTTCTAACAGGGATAATTAATTTTCATTTTAATTATGATTAGAAACAGGCTAGTTAATGAAATGGCTATGGCTAACTTTAGTAATGCACCTTTCTATCATCATCTCTCTTCCACCCGGTGAGGCTCTTTTTGTTTGCACAATGAGATGAAACACTCGTTGACAGAGATCGCTCCTTCCCTTTTCCCTTTCTCTCTCACTCTGACTCAGCTCATGGCGCCTGCCTGGCCTGCTGACGCCCCGAGCTGGCGCCACCCAAAAGACAAAGAGAAACGCTTCAGCAGCAACTTCCTGTTCGAATTAAAGAAGCAATTTTAGTTTCTTTTATTATAAGTCACCGATCGGTCAATGTGTTTGTCCTGTTTTGCTGGTCTCCCACAATGTGCAATGTCTAGATGAACAGCTCCGAACAGCTCAATTTATTTCTCCTGCACACACACACACACACATTTCTCATACAAACAAGCCGAGGGGGCGTGGCGGGGAGCGCCGGCTCCATTCACCCGGGACCACCGATTCATTTTCTACGGCCGCTTGGGCGCGCTCGCCTCGTTTGGTTCGATGCCCCTGTTGTGTTGCCGTTTGCGGGCGGCGTGGCGTGCCGTGGGGGCGAGGGACGGTTTAAAGGGCGCAAATGACTGTATAGGCCAGATGAACTCTATGGATTATGTCATCATTTCTTGTGAATTATATTGTTGAGTTCCTTTCTCCCCGTCTGAGGCACTGACAAGGGCCTGCTCTTGTTTTGCAGAGTAGTTGGCGCCGGGGTGCCCCCGAAGCCCTTCTGCCTGACAGAGACAATAGCGGTGCTGAACCGTGAACAGAGCTCTCTCTGTCCTTCTCTGTCTCTCTCTCTGGCCCCCCCCCCCCCCCTCCCCTCTTTTCCTCTCTCTTACTGTGTCTCAGAAGACCCTTTGAAACGGATAATTCATAAAGATGCCAAAGCTATAGTGAACTTCTCATTCCCTCATCTAAAGGATAGCATTTCCCTTTGACTTTATTGCATATTCAGTGAGAGTGAAAGGCAATAGCGGGGTTCATTGGCGATAATCTGCTGAAACCCCCACTGCAATCTGACAAATTCAATCAATCAAAGGGTCGTATCACTACTTCGATCGGCAGAATCAGCACCCTACTCTTCGAAGCCTCGGCCTCGGTTTTGCAATTTCAGGGGTCATTTCCTTTTATTATCATTATTCCTCTCTTTTGTCGTTCCGAGCCGTGTAGACGTATATCTAATTTTCCGCGAGGCCGCGGATCAGAGATGCACTTTGCACATCGCACATAAGCTTCCCGGCAATTTTCGCGCGCCGCTTCGTGACATGAGGACAAGGTTGGTAGGTGATGTCATCGCTAGCGAGTAGCAACAAAAATCGAGCGCAGCGAATCAGCTGCTGCTTCTGTTTCGCGTCACTGTGTCGCGTTACTGACACTGTTGACAGCAGCAACTCCATTAAAAGCTTACGGCGAACGTAATATGTAGTATGTGTCCAACTTCTGCGGAGGGGCTCAAGGTTGTCTCCCCCACCCTTGCGGCCGGGGGTGTGACGGTGAGGGCACGGCCAAACACCCGCGAAGGTGTGACGCGTTCAATTGCAGCGGCACGCACGCTACGCCACGCTACGCCACGCCCCGCCGCGCCTCGCCACTCCTGCGGGCGACCGCGGTGGAGTGCAACCCGCATTACAGTACTGTGCATCGGGCCCAGTGGTCCGTGGCGCGGCGGGGCGTGGCGGGGCGTGGCGGTCCGTGACCCGGCCGCGACCCCTTCCCCACCGCCCCCCTCCCCCTCCGGGGGACCACACCTTCCTCAAAGGGTTTACGACTTCCGGCCTACATGCGACGCGCGCGCGCAAAAAAATAAATAAATACTAAACGGTATGAGAAATTAAACGGCCCTCAATCGGCAGTAGTGCACTGAACTTGGGCGGGCGCGCGCGCGTCGCATGGGGCGACGCAGCCAGCCGTCACGACTCGGGCGCCGTCAGGTACAGACGGCAGCTGGAGCGAGAGAGTCAACTCGCCGAAGACACTCCATGTCGGCGGTCTAGTTTTCCGGGAGCGAAACACCATCAGCAGCAGCAACTATACGACGACGACAACAACAGACTGACATTTAGCCGGACACGGCGCCCCCCGTGTGCTGGCCGCCCCCATGGTGCCCCTGCCCCTGTCCGAGTTTATGTCCGGGCTATCGCCGCCGTAAAGGGAAGGGGATCGCATGGAGTGGCTGTCGACACCGACCTGCCGGCCGGCTAGCCGCGCGGCCCAAGGGCCCCGCGCGGGTCGCGCTCCTGGATTCAAAAAGAGAACGTAATTCTGCCGCTCGTCTGCGCCCGCCAGCCCGGCGCTGTGCTGCCCGCGGCGCCGGGCCGAGCGCCGTTCGTTGATTGGCTACCCTCGGGGCCTTTTCGAGGTTATTTTCATGTTTGTGGCTGATTTGTGACGGAAAAACAAAACGACACACACATCCGTGTTTTCTAGCGCACGCGCCACGCGCCCCAGATTGTACTATTCATTATTTTTCCGCAGCACATTCCCGCGTTGTCCTCGCTGTTCGACCTGCCGCGACTGGACTGTACACTCTTTGGCTATGGGGTTGGAGGGTTGGTTTCCTGGAGGCGTCCGCCGACTCGTCAGCCCCGAGGGGGGAAAGGTTACCCTTTGACATTCCGAGGGGGACAAGGGGGCGGGACGGCGGATGGATGAAGAGGTTACGGGCGCAACGGCCTGCCCGTCGCACCGCCCGCCCTTCCCCTCCCCTCTCTGTGAGAACGCTGCTTCTTGTATGTACAGCGACGAGGATGATTGGGGAATCTCATACAACACAGGAGTCGAGCGCATACGCTTGACGACGGCGAGGTGGAGGTGCGGGAGCGCCCGCCCCCCGCTCGATAAGTACTGAGTGGATGGGAAGCGCTGCTGCTGTTGCTGCTGCTGATGGCTGCTCTTGGATAGAGAGCTACATGTGAATGAATAGCGCCGACGAACATTCCTATTTTGTGCGTCCCCCCACGCGCCGTATCTCGGCGAAGACTCTTCATCGGTCGCGATAAGGGGTCGATCGGAAATTGTACGTCATTTTCATTTTACGAGGTGCAACGGCTGCTAGTAAGTAGGAGTTCAAGGTTGATGCCTTTTCAGACGCTATGAAAAAAGTTACCATACCTAGGAAACGAGATATGAGAAAACATTTAGCACGAACTCATAAAATTACATACTTCTGTTTCGTTCAATTTAAGTAGCCGTAAACATAAAAATTAAGTGCTGTACGTATTCCAAACTATAATGTAATTTGTTGGCTCGAAAGGGAGTATCCGAGTACCGAATGCTTCCTAGGGGACACGATGTCTTGCTGCTGCTGTTGCTGCTCCTTCGGCGTGAGTCGAGATGAGCGCGCTCTACATGCAGGGGGCGGGCACGGCGGGGTCGTTATTAGCCGCTAAGGCGAGCAACACGACGCGCGCTTCGAGATATCGATCGCTCGCGCGCTCCTCTGATTGAATTTAATCGCATCGATTAATTTGGGAGTCGAGGCCTTAATACGAGCAGGGTGGCAGCCGGTAGGCCTCCTTGCAGGATTGCTAAATCTGTGTACCTTTTTTTAAAAACTACGTAATTTTCTTCTTACGGAAGTGTTTTACGCGTGTTTTCTTTTTGCGCGGTAGGATTCGGCGGCGCCTTGCTCCCTGCACCGGGGTGCGGGCGCACCTATTTCCTCGATCAAACATGCGTGAGGAAGATCGATTCCCCCGAGAGTGCGTGCTCTATTCCTGGCCGCGGTTCTACTCTGCTGAAAATGTAAAATTGACATGGACTTCTTTTCTATTCCAGGGTGCTGGTGCTGCTCTTCGTGGCGGCGGGTGGCTGCACGGCGGTGACACCGGACCCCAAGACCTTGAGCAACAGCCTCAGCCCGCTGGAGGTGGGTATCGGCCGTCTTTTATCACTTTATTTGTGCCGTGTGTGTGTGATTGGAAAGAGACGACAGTGTGCCCCTTCCCCCTTCCCTTTTAAACAAAAAAAGCGTAAAACTTTGGTGGGCGCGCCTATCCTTCTATTATCTGACTGTCATTTTTCGGACACATCTCGTGCATCCGGCGTTGTTTTGTTTCGATTGTGGCCTGGCAGTGTTCGTTCAGTTAGCTCCAGTGTCCACCAGGTCTGTCAGACGCTACGCGCCGGCACGCCCTTCCCCGCCGCGCCACGCCGCGCCACGCCACGCCCCGACGGCGTCGACCGAAGCTGCTGCGTTTGTGGAGATCTATACAACTGTCAGTCTTCTGCCGTTGACGGAAATCGGGTGGGTCCCCCCGTGCCCCCCCCCCCTCCCTGCATTGCGTGGCAGACTGATGCGTGGCGTGGCCCGGCGGGGCGGCCAGTAGGTCAGAGAGTGCAAGCCGGCTAACGCACGTCGCCGAAGGGGGGGTCGACAAAGTTTTGATTCCGATACACTAGTACAGCCAAAAATATAGTTCTACAATTTTAACTCTCCCCCCAACTTAAATTGTTTCAGGATTGACAACTATTTGTTTCATAGAGTTATGCTGTAAAAAAATATTTTCCCACTGAGAATTTGATTTATCTTGATCTATCATGGCCTGTCAAACATTATATCATTAACAAATGAAGTGCCGTGCAAAAAGTACCACCGTCTCGTGAACTTACGACGGCAGAGTAGCGCCAGCGCTGGGGAATGCCTTTAAACACACGGGAAGACGCTGGTTATTCCAACACGCTAAAATATTACACGCCATGGGATTATAATTTCACGGCCTTCCCTCCCGTCGGCCACTCGAGACTGCAGCGGGCTGCTGTGGAGGGAGTGGGGGAGGAGGGGAGGAGGGCAGTAGGAGCACGCAATGCGGCCCTTCTTCCGCCGCTGCTCCTGCTCGGCAGAGAGATTTTTGTGTTTGAGTAGCAAGGAGCGAGCGAGGAGCGAGCAAGCGTGAGCCAATAAGAACCTGCAGGCTGCACGCGGCCGCCTCCTGCAGCCTTCCCGCGCTCCTCCCCCTTCCCTGCTCCTCCTGCTAACCCGCTCTCCTTCCGCTCCCCAAGAGATGCGTGCGCTACAGCAACGTGTACTGTGGCTGGTGGTGGTGAGGAGGTAAGTTGGGGGGGAATGGGGGGGGGGGTGCGCCTGACTCAAGAGGGGGGCACAAATTTGGAGATGTCACCGCATGTAATTTCTCCTTATCAGCAAGTTTATGGCCGAAACTAGTCCGACACCGCGACGAGAGTGAGAGGAAGGGAGCGAGAAGACAGGCGAGAGGGAGAGGGAGGGAGAGAGAGAGAGAGAGAGAGAGAGAGAGAGAGAGAGACAGACAGACAGACAGACAGACAGATAGACAGACAGACAGACAGACAGAGACATAGAGAGAGAGAGACAGACAGAGAGAGACAGAGATACCCGAGCAACAAGCCCCCCCCCCCTTTTCTACGCATAGCCTTTTTGGCTTTGGCCCGCCACCATGAATGTCCCGTGAGTCGCTCCTCTTATCACATGGCTGTGTTGCGGCCCGACGGGGTCAGTACTTTACTGACATTACGGTCAGCATACTTTGTCGAGGGGCATGAATGCGCTTCTAAACCGCAAAGAGCCTTGTGTACTGATAATAGGGCATAGAGTTGAGAGATATTTTTATTTTAAAATCCGTTACAAACGCTGTTTCCTTTGTTTCCCATTATGACCATGTAATGCAGCTACGTTTGTGTGGTCAGAGTTACGCAAAACGCTTCCCTTGCAGGACCTGCGTCTGTTTCGTTCTCCCCCCGCTCTCCCCTGTCTGCGCTGAGTGGCGCTCCGAGGATTTTGTTTTTACTGCGCTGTAAATTAACTCGTATCATAGCAGTAAACGGTCCCACACCTTTACGGCTTTCCAATCGTTTCGGGCGGTGGCGCCCTGAAGAACGGAACTAACTCCAAACTTGTTTCCAAAGTGTAACATCATCAGCCTGCAGCACTGCTCACTACCCTTAAAATGTTTTGATTGCGGTTTCTGATCTTTGCGAAAGCCCCGCCCCGACGTGTTCTCTGCTTTTTGTAGCGTTACGTTTCTCTTGTCGCCTCCGCGCGCCGCCGTTTTCTAAAATTGGCCGCCACTATTAATCAGTATGGAACGCGTGGAATTTGAGAATGGAGACACACAGCGCGGCCGTGGCGCGGCGCGGGGAGGGCAGCGTCCCGTGTCCCAGGCTGGGCTCGGCTCTGGTAGGGGGGGATGTAGAGGGCCCATAGGGGTGGCCGGTCTTATTCATCGTCCCAAATCCCAAGAGGTCCTCCCTGGGCGAGGCGAGCATGATCGTCACGACGAAGGCGGTGTGGCGTGTGGCGCTCGGCGGGCGCGAGTTTTGTGCGTCAGTATAAGTCGTAAGTTCATGTAAAAAATTTCTTAATTTCTCAGTTTCAAATCGGAACTAACCAGCACGCACTTCTTGGAAAAATTTCTCGTAAGACCTGCAAACACTTTCCGCAGTTAGGGTAAGAGCAGACGGCTATTTCGGAATCGGAATCTGAACCAAACGCGCGGTTTAAAGAAGTCATGCAGCAAGGGCGCCATATGTACAGAGCGTACAGCACACTTACCATTGCAATCCGCGGCTGCAACATGATCGGAAGTGATTCGCTTGGGGAGGAGGGGGGGGGGGGGCACGACCATGAACAGCCAACGCCAGACCAAGGAACCCGTTGACGCTGTCCAGGATGGAAGCCGGGCGCAGCGCCACGACGCGGGCGCGCCAGCACCAAGCAAAAGGCCCCCGTCTGTTTTTATGGTGTTTGCACCCAGTCCCCCCCCTCTTTCTCTTTCTGTCTCTCTCCCTCTCTCTATGTCGCTCCGTCTGGACTGCTCTCCCTTTTTCTCACAATGGTCTATGGCCTGCGGCGGGCGCCAAAACGACGACACCCAGACGACACTCGGCGGCCGTCCTGTCTACTGCTGCTCCTTGCAACAAGGCGCAAGGCGTCGTTGTGCTAATTGGGATGTTGCGAAGAATGGCTCGCCTCAGCGGCCCATTATGTTGGCGATCGTGCCAATTACCTCCTGAGGGTCCTATCCGCCCCGCCCCGCCCCGCCACTGGTGTGAAGGAGGTTATATCCTCTTTACTTCTCGGCCGGCCAGAGGCTCAAGAGGCCCCGGGCCAACGGCCGTGCCGGCAGCTCCAGAGCGGCTCATGGACCCTGGAGGAGTGCCCTCCTCGCGGTCGTGCCCGGCTTACTGCAGGTCGGAGGGTCGGGTCAGGGGGAAAGGGTCAAGCAGGGAAACGAACGCGCCCTGTGGAAAAAGCAAACGCATGAGTTGGGGGGACTTTAAGCTTGAAATTTAATGGTTGAAATTTAAAACATTGTCTTGCAAAATTCTTCAAAAAAGACAGCTGACAGTTTAAGTACTTGAAGAAGGTGTTAATCGTATGAAGAATGAAGATGTCTCAATGTTGTTTTTGACGCTTGCAGGCCGCGGTGGGCATCATCTCCCCGGTGACGCCGTCCTGGCTGTCCGGCAGCTGGGGACCGTGGTCGCCGTGGAGCGCCTGCTCGCGCCCCTGCGGCACCGGGGTGGCGGTGCAGACGCGCGAGTGCAGCAGGCGCCGGGCGCGCGCCAGGGACGACAAGGACCGCGCCAAGAAGCGCCACAGGTGAGTGAGGAGGAGGAGGAGGAGGGGGCTCTCTGGAGCAGCAGCAGCAGGCATACGCCACCTGCGGCTCACACACGACGCCTCAAACACTTCACTACTTCCGACCGGATCCTGATTAGGGCAATCACATCCCAGCCTAGCGCCAGACGGGGCGTCCCGCGCGGCCGTCACGGCCAAATCCTTATCAGTGTGATGGGGGGGGGGAGGGGGGCAAGCGGGCGGGCGATAACCTCGCGAATGCCATATCATTGTGGGACGCGCTCCTTTGTCGGCAGACACTGCATTTATCGCCCATTCAAGCGCCACAGAGTCATAGTGAGCGGGGGCCGGGGAGGGGGAGGGGGGGCTCACTGCATCGCGTCGCGGCTCTGGGGGGGCTTTACGGGCGCATGGGTCCCTTAATGGACATGTATTTCGTCGCAACTCTCAACTTTGCCCCCATTCCGTCACATTAACTTGTTTCGCGCGGGGGCCGGCGGGCGGCCGCGGCACGGGCGCACCACCAGAGCAGCAGGCCAGTCGTCGACGCGGCCGGTGCACGAGTTACAAGTCATCTTTATAGAGTCGGGTACTTTTTCCACGGCCCTCTCATTGAGCTCTGCGGGCTAAATGTGGAAACTGTTCAGATTTCAGGATAAATATCGTTATCAACGGGGATACTTCTATCATAGCCTTCCAAAATCATAACCCCCCGCCTTTTCTGCCGAGAGTGGCGACCCCCGTGCCTCGCAAAGACGGAGATTCCCTGGCAAGACTCGGCCTCCTGGACCCAGTGCGTCTTTCTGTCGCCGTGTGTCGGCGCGTGGCCCCGCGCGAGGCTCTCTGGGCGCCGCCTTTAGGCCCCGCGAGCCACACACGGAGCAAGGCGTCAGGGAGAGGTCGCCGCGGAGAATTAAGCAGCGGGCGCGACGCGTATACACCGCCGAAAAAGTAAATAAAAGCGAAACAACAAAAACAAACGGGTGTCGTTAGCGTGTGGGGGCCGTCGGTTGATGACGGAGCAAAGAACAACAACAGCAAAAACTGGAGGCGGTGGTGCGGTGGGGTGGCGGGCTGATGCATGGCATGATGAGTGAATCTCGTGGGGCGTTGCACGCAGCAAAAGTGGGCTCGTCCAAAAAAACACGTCCGTCATTCGCTATTACGAAACTTCCAAGTAGTGTAGCCTCTGCAAGCTTTCATAGCGCCTGGTGGGTAGGCAACATCTTGCCAACAGTGCATGCGTGTATTGCGGGGTGGCCCACCCCGAGTCTCGCAGGCGCCGAGCTTCCGTGTAGTTTGCCAGAGGAAGACGGTCCTACTTTCTGGGCGACCTCGCTTGCGGTCGTTGGTTTCTGGCGGGGCCGGCAGCATTTGCGGAGGGCACCTTGCTCCGGCCTGCGATGCTGTGCGGGTGGCCGGCGCTGTGCTCGCGTGCGCTGTGCTCGCTGCGGCCCCGCCCGAGCACACCGTGTAATTAGAGCGAAAGGGTCCGGCGAGCACCCGAGCACCACCTCGACGCACTCCGTGAGGTCGGGCCGGGTCGGACCCAGCAGCTAACAGGTCGCGCGGCTGCATCGGGGGCTCGGGTAGGCAACACCGCCGGGGAGCCGTGAGCAGCGGGTCTGCCTACCCGACGACCGGCAGGCTCCTTCGCCTCGAACATCCTTTCCGGTTTCACAAATTATTTAACTTGTCCAAAGAAGCTGACCTGTTTTTGAACTTACAAGTATAGGTTATTTTGAGCGACCATATTTTCTACTTTGTTTGCGTGGATAAATGTTTTCACAGGTTGAATTTGTCATGCGGACGCCATGATGATGCCTATGACTGTTAATTTAAGTTAAATCCGTTGTTAAATCCGTTGTACTTCTGCCAGTATCAAAAGTAAATAAGCGCAAATACGTTACTGCAAAAATCATATACCGCAGGCGGATATTTAAATAAATGATGTTTCTCTTGCGCCGCTGCCGCTGCCCCCGCCGCCCGCTGTCTCTCCCGGGCTCCCCTGCGGCGACGCCTGTCAGCGGAGTGACTGATGCCATCAAAACAGTCCCATCTTCCGCGCGGGTGGCGCGGCGGCGGGGCACGAGCCGGGGGAGGGGAGTGTGAAGACCGCGGCGGGGGGCCTCCTGATGCCCTCAAAGAGCAATTAGTCCCCCCCCCTCCCCTCCCCCTCCTTCC